CTAAACTCTATACCCTAAAGCCTAAGCCCTAAACCCTAAACTCCATACCCTAAATCCTAAGCCCTAAACCCTAGAATCCTAAACCTTAAGCAGTGGGGGCAATGGTCTTCTGTAGTAGCATTCCTGGCCCAGAGCTTTTGGCTGCAAGCCGGCCCATACCCACAAGATTTCCGAAGACATATGGAGATTTCCCAAGTTTGGGGTTTAGGATTTACGCTTTCGAGGGTCCCAATAATACCGATTATAGTATTTTGGGGTCTACATTGGAGTCCCCCTATTTTGGGAAACTACCATATCTGTAACCCAACCGAGCTGCAGCTTTATGGCCTACAAGTACTGGTTAGGAGTCCACTAGCAAGCTGTAGGCGATCGGGTTACAAGTGCGCTTACCGTTTGCTAGGCTTTTGTTGACTATGATTAGAATTATGTACCGGAACGTAATCTAGATTGACGTTTAGGGTATCAGTGAAGGAAATTGCCCTGGGCCCAAACCTCAGACATGTTCGCGGATGGTAGAAACCCCTAAACCCTAAACACTTAACCCTGAACCCTAAGCCCTAGCTATCAGTGTGGGCTACCTAGGCTTTTGACTGCTCAAGTTCCCATCACGATAGCCTATATACCTTTTTGGGGTGTCTATCCAGGATGTCTAGGTTGAGGGTTTAGGGTCTGGTATTTAGGTAAGTATTCGGGAGGTCCAGGTAGTCCTTGAAGCTGTAACTTGTTCTGAGTGGTATGCTGTGCCCGCATGCGTTCAGCATGGTAGTGCGATGAGCAGCAGGAGCCTGATTCTTGATGATCGACTGTTAAACTCGCACGTAGCCGACAATCTCGAGACTTGCTCCGGGCCAATCTTGGGGTTTAGGGCTTAGGGGGCTAGGGCTTGTTTACAAATACCCAAAAAGGAAAAACCTGTGCGTTCTAAGTGTAGTAGTCCGATGAACAACCAGAGATAGTGGCCTGTAGGGGAATGATGTCAGGGAAAAGAGAATGGACAGGTTTCTGCTTTAGGGTTAAGGGATTCACCACCGTTAGGGAGATGATGTTCAGCGTATCCTATGACGCCGAGAAGTTGTGCAAGACACTTGTGGACATGCTGCAGTCAAGCAGCGACCTCCACCTAGTCGCACGTAGCGTCATACTTCGCGGTTGGCATGTCACGTTTCTTGTTTGTATATTAGGGTTCTCATCAAACGAAGGGCCAATATAGATTCTCGAGGATACTTTTACTTTTATTATAGGGACCGACGAAAATACTCCCACGCAAAGCCCTCCGGCTTTTGGATGAAGTCGAGGTACAGGCAGCCTAAAGCCCAAGGAACAAGGCATCCTCATGCAAATGAGAGCCATGCTTCAAGGGTTTGAGCTTCGAAGCCCAGGTTAAGCCCTTTTGACCAACAATCGAAGAGCACTCGCCAATTTGGGACTCCCAAAAACCCCTAAATCCCCGGCCCTAACCCACACACACACCCTCCCCCCCAAACCCTAAACCCTAAACCCTAAACCCAAAAAAAAAGATCATGCAAAAGGTTGGATAACAAGAGAAGTGCCTGGGTCAACCTCGGCGTGGTTGCCGCTTTGTTCACAACCCTCCTTTGGACGTCCATCGTGGAGCCGTTCCAGATCTGTGATGCCGATGACTGGCTGGCAAGCCACAGGGAGACTGCCAAGCAGGTGTTGACGGTCTTGCTCTACATCGGCATTACGTTTGGTCTGGTGGCGGTGGTTATGGTGGTTCAGCAGCTGGTCCACTCCACTCAATATGTGCCTTGGCGGACCTATGGAACGGCTCTTACATTTATACATAGACCTCCCACAAATGTATGCATGCCAGGCTTAAAAGCTTTGGACTTTAGACGCTGTAGGAGCATGATTGTGATTCCGATCAGTGCTTGCTTGCTTGGTGTGAGTTTCTCTTTTTGATGCAGCTATGATGGCTATAGCTAGTCTGGCTTGGTTTCTCCTTCATTGTGATTGAGATCTTTGTACGGGCGCAAGACCAAGGTGCAATCTGCTGATGACTTTTTGTGGTTTGTTATGCTCAACCGCGATCTCCTCACGGACACATGCGCAGTTCTATGCCTGGTGTGCACTGGTGCATCAGTGCCTACTGCTGCCGTGGTAACCCTCAAAGATCCCGAAGTTTCGATTTGCATCTTTTCCACAAGCGCCTGCTTCCTATGTGTCTTTCTGCTATGGCTGCGTTCCTTATGCTGCAGTGTTCGGCATCATGCTGGGATGGCGCACAAGAGCCGAGAGGTCTGCTTTGGGAAGCCCCCAAGCCTATGTTTTACCTCTAAAGGGTTTAATGTAGACCCGTGATTAATGAACCCCTCTTGTAATTCCTATTAAGGGGAGGGGGTTTATTAATCAAGGGTCTGGGCTAGGGTCTAGGGGGCCCCTGACTGTTGAGGAACCCCCCAAGTCTGCATTAATGCGGCGAGGTGTTGATCAAACTTGTGAAGACGATCTACAGCAAGACCTCTCAGCCAGACGCTTTGTGGTGCATATGTTCTAGGTTGTTGCCCTATAATTAGAACAGGCCTTGGGGCTTAGGTCTTAAGGCATACAGTTTGGGATGTCCACCTTTGAAATGGACCCAGGATTGAGAATCAAATGCCAACATAGGAACTGAACTCGAAATTGCGTTTACACAATTGTGGTGCAGAAGTTTGTAGCTTGTCCAGTTATGGCCTCCTTTTTGATCCACATGTGGTATAATACAGCCGCATATTTCAAGAACCCCCCAAAGTGACTATCTCTGTGACAAACACCCAGATGGGGATACCTCAAGCTTCTTAGATCCTTTTTTAGGTTCTAAGGCAACTATTTCGTGTGTTTCATAAACTAGCGTTCCCCAAATTGAGTGTAGATCCCAAGTTACTATCCTGATTATAGCTGCTCCGGAACAAGGCACGCCCTTTTTTGGAAGCCCTGGACCACTGTAGATCCTTACATATGCCACAGATCCCCTGTGGCCCGTTTGCGGGAAGCCACCTGATGCTTGGAAACCTCTATTTGGGATGTACGTAAGGCAGACACTTATTCTTAAGTTATAGCACATGGGGCAACCTTTTCCATTTTTGGCTTACTTCGGGTTTAGGACTGAACACTAGGCAAACTACAGCAGTTTTAGGGTTTGGGGTTTAGTATCCCCAAGTGGTGGTTTTATGAAAAAGCCATTCCAAAGGGACTTATTTCATTTGACTTCTGGATTTTTGAGGTCAGTTGTTACTTCCTCGTATATTTTATAATGTGGATGCCTGGCTAGTTACCAATACTGTTGTACGAGACCTAGAACTATAGAATAACATGCCCCAAGCTCCCAGTCTCATTAATCTGCTCCCCAAATCACAAATGTCCCACCCCTTTAAATAGATACACCGACATAGTACCGTCAAATATTATAATGAAGGGTAATCTGTGGGGGGTTATTGCCAGGGGCAGGGGTTGTTTTAAGGCCTTATACCTGCATGGGGCCCTGAAACCTAAGCCATGGCGATTTCGTTTTTCTGGGAGCCATGGCGCACTGAGGACTCACCCGCCCCGCCGCCGCTGCTTCAGGGACGGCGCCCCTCCACAATGGCCGAATACCTGTAGCAAATAGGTGGGGGTTTCCCAAAATTAGGGGTACCTTTTTGGGGGTGCCTTTCATAAGGACTATAGGAATCAGGGGTCCACATTGGGGTCCCCCTATTTTGGGAAACTACCAAATAGTTATGTCTCACAAGAATCCCCATATGGGATTTAAAGCTGGACGTGATCTTGATTTAGTTGCGCAAAGTCGCACTGCCGCTCAAGACAGCGTTGTTTCCTATAGCATGCAAGCGGTGCTTCTGTAGGTTATCCCAACTCTTACGCTGACACAAACGTGAAAAATGAAAAGCATTCCGCAGCCCGTGATGACTTCAATCAAGGGTGGAACCGGTCGTGGAACCCATGACTATCTACCATAAACCCTAATACCCTGAACCCTAAGCTCCTAAATCCTAAAACCTAAAGCCCAAAGGCCTAAACCCCTAAGCCCTTAAAACCCTAAACCCAAAACCCTAAATCATATAATCCCAATATACTATAGTAGCTTCCATTTTCTTTTCCATTATCCCAAAACCCCAAGCGCCTAGGAGCTTACAGGTACCTCCAGTTGGGGTATACTCAGTAAATAGGGACCCCAGGATCAAGGGCCATAGTAGGGTTCGATGGCTTGATGATGCTTGGAGATCTGGAAGAGAAAGGCACTGGCTAGGTTTAGGGTTTAGGGTTGAGGGTTTAGGGTTTCAGGGTTTAGGGTTGAGGGTCTAGGGTTTATAGTCCCCTTTAAGTAGATACAATATGGGGTATATGAGGATCTTATGATAATATACCCAAGGCCATATTCTATCTACTGCAGGGGGACTATAGGCGGATAATAGGCTTATTGATCATTTTCATGTGTGTCAGCAGGGTTATTCTAAGGCCCTAATGGGCTGAAGTCTAAGTGTTATCTGGTACAAGTTGCCTCCTCCTGCGAAAACAGCTTTAGCACGTGTCCTGAACCCTAAACTTCCTTAACCCTGAATCCTAAACGCCAAACCATGAAGCTAAAACCCCAGACCATGAAAACTGAACCTGAATCCTCAGCCCCGAACCTGGGAACCAAATTCCATTGAGGGTCTCGGGTTTATGGTTTACAGCCCTAGCCATCGGACTCCAAAATAGCCCAATGTAGATATCATGTAACTCACCTGCCCAGTGAATGACCTTAAAGCCTCCTAGGGTAATGCACAACCCGATGAAACCCAACATCTTAACCTGAAAATGAGCAGTATTCTATTTGGGGATATTATGGTGCCCGTTATAGAGTAAGATTCTATCCTCCCTTTGGGGTATAGTATTTTATATAAGGAATATAATCTTACCAGGTTCAACCACCAAAACGAACGCTACTCAAAGGAGCCCAAGATCATCAAAGGTAAAGACCTAGAGCCCCCTAAGCCCGCAAAAACCAACCCTAAATCCTAAACCCAAACCTTAAACTAAGACCTATAGACTCTAAATCCTAGACTGCAACCCCTAAGCCCCAATCCTTACCCTAAGGGTCTAAGGACTCAAATAATAGGGTGCGAGGGCCCAAATACCATTAATATTATAGTATTTGGGCCCTAAACCTTAGTATTTGGGTCCCTGGACCCTTAGGGTCATGCAACAACCTTTCGAACTCCTTTATTTTACCAAAGGTCATCAAGGCGGGTGGCCACACGCTCATCGATGCGCTTGCCTAAGATAATTAGCAGATTTTGGGGGTTAGGGTTTAGGGTTTAGTGTGTAACCCAATGGGGTTAAGGTTCGAGGCTTAGGGTTTAGGCTTTAGGCTTTGGGGGTTAGGCCTTGAGTTTTTGAACCCGAGCGGAATATAGGGGGAATCTAGATGGATCATATGGGTGAATATTGGTTTTATTACAGATAGGAAAAGGATTGTGGTTACCCCAATTTCTAGAATCTTCACAGGGGGTGTAGGTGTGCATGGGGCTTAGGCTTTGGGAGCCTCAAGGTGCAGAAAACAGCCATTGCTGTTGACAAGCGTTAAGGTCTATACGGGCCTATATAGAGATCAAGACAGGTCAAACAATCAAAAAAGGTTTGCTAACACACGATGAACGAAGAATTACATGGGAATTAAGTTGGAAACTTAAATGACAACTGGGTCATAAAGAGTGGTTATGTCGGAAAAAAGTAGGTCTAGGCAATGATAAGACGGCTTTGCTAACCCCAACCCCAAAGCTAGTATATCCGATGCGCTTTTCCAAAGCCCTCTTGCTATACGATTGCGTGTGACTGGCTCATGGGTACGCGAGCTCAGGGCGTAGGGTTTGAGTGTGTAAGGTTTTTCTCTCGTTCTCTGTCACATAGGGTCATTGGCGGATAACTCTTGCTTCTCATCAAGGGGTGTATAGTAGGGGGGGGGGGTAGTAGGGGAGTCCATGATCTATGTGCACTACGTTGATTCTAGAGGAGACTCCTCAATGCATGCCGTGAGATGGACATCCCGAACCCAAAGATAACCCTTAGCTCAAAAGTATGCCTTAAGCGCCGCAGATATTCTTCCCTAAGGGTCCAAGTACCTAATAATCATCACATACTTACCCAAAACCAGTTCTATAATTACTATTACCCAAATCCCAAGTACCTAACTATTGGGTACATGGACCCTCTGGGCTTGAGAGGGTTTAGGATAGATGCCATAAGCTCCCTGAATCTGGAACCATTTAACGGCATTTTCCTTCCTTGGGACTTAGCTTGGACCTTAGACCCTTAACCCTTTAAGATTCCCTTATGTACCTATTGTAGGTACCTAAGGGTTAACCCTTAGTTAGGGTCTCACGTGCCACATAGTTCTTCTAGATTAATGGGCATTGGGCCCTTCAATCAGTTTTGCGAGCTTTTCTGCCGGTGGCTTCAGCTGGAAGTAAGTGTTCAAGAAGGACCTTGCTCAATGCCTACTGAAGCTTTGGTGTCTAGCCGCTGAGAATTCACAATCTAGATTTTAGGCATGTAGTGCTTGGGATTTCAGACTGACTGCAGGATTTAGGGAATATGGGGTGACCCGACACAACACAAACGCTTCCTTCCAGCGCGAATGCCAGGAATTGCTAGCCCCAAATCCCAAACCCTAAACCACACGACAATCTAACAACGATCCAGCTTGGCAAACCCGCACATGCACAGGTGAGTAGTACTTGTAGTCTGGACAACTATCGCCGCAAACATGCCGTAAGAAAGAATCC